GCACAGCACATTCAGTCTCTAACGCATCATCCAGTGTCTGCGCGTACCATTCGACGCCGTTCACAGCAGAGTGGTCTGTCCGCAAGACGTCCATTGCTTCGTCTACCCTTGACGCAGAAACACAGACGTCTTCGTCGCCAATGGTGCGATGAAAGGAAGGATGTGGGCGGCAGAATGGAATGAAATTGTCTTTACTGACGAGTCACGCTTTTGTCTGCAACACCGTGATGGTCGTATTCGAGTCTGGAGACACCGTGGAGAAAGGATACTGAACAGCTGCGTTATATACCGCCATACTGGTCCTGCACCGGGTATTACAGTTAGTTATGGAGTGGTATTGGATATCACTCTTGCACTCCTCTAATACGCATTGCCGGTACTTTAAACAGCCAGCGCTACATCTCCGAGATGTTGGAGCCCGTTGTTCTTCCTTACCTTCAGGGCTTGCCCACAGCCATATTTCAACAGGATCACACGTGGCACGCACTGTCCAAGGGTTCTTCGTCAATCGCGAGATTGAATTGCTTCCCTGGCCGGCTTGCTCTCCGGATCTTTCGCCGATAGAAAACATGTCTTCCATAGTTGTTGAACGATTGACCCAGATTACATCCCAAGCTGCGACACCAGATCAACTTTGGCAACGTGTGGAAGCTGCTTGGTCTGCTGTACCCCAAGAACACATCCAAAGTCTCTTTGAATCAATGCCGAGGCGTGTGGCAGCGGTGATCTCCAACAATGTCGGCTACTCTGGCTACTGATTCTGGAAAGAACCACACTTCACAGAAGTCTATAAATTTAATCATTTGATACTTGGTTAACATGTTATCTACTAAATAAATTTTGTTGTGATATCTCTTGTCTTTCTTGGTGTTGCAATTTGGGTGGCCAGCAGTGTATTTTAAGTAAATGCAATGAGTGTAAATTAAATTTCATGTGACTTAAAATTTCTTAGTTAAATATGATATTCCGCAGCCTTTTTATTTAATTAAAATTTGCTATTATGGTAATAGAAAGCAATAAAACGTAGCAAAATAAGTAAGTTGTTAAATTTTAATACTTAAGTACTAGACATAAAATAAATACCAACATAAAAATTCATATTTAAGGATATCATGTAATATTCCTACAAAAATAGTTGCATAAAAAAATGTTAGAAATATATAAAACGAAATAAAAAAACGAAAAAAAAAATCTTTTCGGTAAAAATCATTGCTGTTTCATAAAGCTTAGTAGACTAACTGAATTATTTTGAGCAAAATAGTGTTACACAGCAAGACAGCAATCATAATTGTGCAGCTATTTATTACAAATTCTGGACTTAATTAAGGACTAAACAATATTTTCCCATGCAATTTCAATACCTTATATTTTCTCTTAATTCTTATGATCTCTTAAGAATTTTCTGAATTTATTATAAAGTAAAATATGCTATGCCAATCTGCCTAAAAAGAAGGATGCGTCTAAAGCACTTTCCAAGAAAAATTAGCTCTATTGTATCGACATATAGAGAAAACAACTAAAACCCTATACAGGCAGTCAATTTGCTATATTTTTGAACCCGTCTACAACTACCAGCGTTCAATGACAATAAGCTACCGATTGGCTGACTTACCCGTTTTACAGAGGAGGAGTAATAAAAAGGCAAGAAATACAGTTCTTAAAAAGATAACAATAATTATGTCTATCATCAAAAAGGCACAAAACACTCGGGGCTGGCAGAAGGTCTTCTTAGTGTAGCCACACAAGTTATATCAGTTTGGCACAGGTTCTAGAAATACTTAGAGCTAGGATTTCACAAATTCAGTTACCAGTACTTCACAATTCCGTCTAAAATAGATATGATCCAGTTGATCTTAAAAATTCTTCAATAACATATCCTTTCCTGAGAAGATACATGTAAAGTGTTTCGTCATGAATACAGGTGGCTCATGAAATGAGGTACATTGAAAATAACTTATAAAAATTTTAGTGTGCAAATTAAGTACTAAAAATATGGTATTACGATATTCAACAGAAAATACATCGCTCTTTACATCCAGTCAATATTCGGAACTTCAGTATGTCCACCTTAAAAGCGCACAGCCATTTTGAGGCAGACAAACCCTCAACTTTGAGATAACTTTACGATACAAATTCTGTGCCAATGCCTGGATGAAAGTCACAATAGTTATTCAAATTGCTGTTGCATTCTGACATTCCTCAAAAAGGCCATGGGAGTTAGTATAGGGTCTTTATAGCGACCAAATTGAATCTACTTAAAATCATCCCCGATACTGATGGAAAATCACAGAAGAACAACTATGACACCTTTCTAAACTCGGAATAACCTTCAGTGAATTTAATTTCTGAAAGTGTTCTGGATAATTTGTATGAAAATTGATAATTCTAAAGTGTCCGTTCATTTAAGGAGATTATACATAGCAAAGTGTATACAGTGAAAACGTACTGCATACTATGCGCATTCCAATGAATATTTCAAAACAAAATTTCCTGTAATATTCTTTGTATTAAACATTTTCTAAACCGTTTTCTGTGCGTAACATTTCATGTTTCACTCTATATATAATCGCGCAGAGAATAAACTTTTCTAATTTAATGCATAAGGAAAGTAAAATATTCGCGTTTTACCTACCCTGGTTATGCTTTAAATTTTATTTAGTGTGTAAACATAATTTACTTACCTAATTATTTTTTCTCCTTGAGTAACCTCACTTATTTATATATATTTACTTTAACAACTTAGTTATGCAGCATACTGCAATTCAAATGTCGCTGCTGTTCAATTAGTTCTTCAACAACTGCATTGGTTAAATGTAACATTTACATGTAAAATGCTCCTGTTCAACTGAATCTCCGAGAACTAGTCTTGTTCAACTAATTCTTCTGATCTAGTACTACTTTTCATGAGGCTAAAAGCAATAAATAGAAATGAAGTGGAGAGACCTTTTTTCCGCAGCTGTTGTCCCCATGATTTCAAGTCAAATCGGTCAGCATCGAAGTTCTTAATTTAAAATAACAAACTGTGGCAGATGGCGCTAAGTCTCCAACGTTTCATTCATTCATTTATTGCTTACTTTGACTTTTCTTTATTTCTACCGACAGCGGGGCAGTCTGTGTACTGGAGTGGTGTATTTAATTATGGCAAAGCAAACTAGGACTATCTGCCTAAGGGGAGGGATGCCTTCGTGGAGGACTTTCTAAGGGAAACTGGCTCGCATGCACGTCACACATGGGGAAAACCACGAAAACACCCATGCAGCCAGCCCGTTCGCGGGATTCGAACCTCGGACCGAACTACCAGTGTTCAGCGACTTTACCACTCGGCCGCTGGTGGGCACTATGTACTGGAATAGTTAGCATATCGACCAGATAACCCAGGTGACGGAATTATATTTGCTTCAAAATTTACTAAATTGCAGCCTCTCCAAGGCTATCCTTGGAAAGGGGATAAGTAAACTGATGTACTTTAGTTCTTTTCAAAAGACAAAGTTCGGAGAAGCATGACGAGAAGCGAACGAATGAAGGTACAATGGCGGTGAGAAGAACATACATAGTTTCCATATATGTATGCTGCCCTCATATATCTGCGGGAACCATTTCTCGATAATTTCACTGAATAATATGAGTTACATGCACGGAAGCCTGTTGTATGCATTCTGCTACGAGCACAGCATAGTCGAGAAAAATTACATTATTGTAAGAAGCATATTCATTGCGTTCAGCAATAGTGTTCTAGAGTCATATTCTCTGACGAGTCCTGTTTCACCATCAACAGTGATTCTGGACACCAATTAATGAGGAGAAATTAGGGTTGTTACCATTATTAGAATTTCTAGAAAACTTTTCGTAATTGTGTATGCAGATATTATGGATATTATGGGCAATGGGAATTGCTCTTTACATTTTTAACTAAGGTACAGTGATATCGCAGTGGTATTGCACTAAATTCTTCCGGGTCATGCGTCCATTTTTTCCTATAGTTGGTCTAGACTTTCTGTTTACAAATGACAAGGCCCTTGAGCATAAGACAGGTGAAGTGCCAGACACACTAACAGGGAAAAATACTTGTATGACATTGGCCTACATATTTCCTGGATTTCAATTCTGTAGAGACGCTAGGAATACAATGGACAGACGCATTGCTCAACCTCGAACGGTAGAGGAATAGAACAAAATCTCCCGAGCTCTCCTCAGCAGTTTAGTGGATATCATGCGTAACAAATACTAAAATATGCATCGTAGTCCGAGGAGGTCATGCTGCACAGCGACGGATTCCTGTCTTTATTTCAAATAGAACAAGTATTTTTCATAGCTGCTGAAAATAACTCTAATGAGAATCTTTTTTTTTTCCCCATATGATGGTATCTGTACCGTTTTGCATAACAACGTCACTATAGGACTTCTGTTACATATGCCAGATCTCATTTCTTTAATTATTAGTTATAACGAATTATGAATTATAAGTTATAACGAAAGTTATAACTTATAATTATCCCATTAGTTATAACGAAAAATGAATCTATTTCTCAGAAAGTTTCAAGCAGTGCAATAGATTGCACTAGGTACTAAATCATAATTTCATTTATTTCTAGAAGAAAAGTCAAATTGGTAGAAACAGTTCAAGAAAAACCTAGCTTTCCTATTAAGTGTTTTAGCCACCAATCAGAAGTTTGCTTATGATTCTACAGGAGCATGAGTTGCAGTTCAGAATTCTCAAGTTAACTTTGCTTAAGTGCTCTTGCCTGTAACTTAAATTTGTCTAATTTAAGAAATAGTTTGCAATGTACATTTTAACTGCTAATGAAAATTAAATAATTGTTGCAAGCTTACTATTGGAATTGGGAACTTTTAGAAAAATAAACAATAGTTTTATTCACTTAAAAAAATACGTCAAGGAAAAGAACATTTTAAATTTCTAGTGTATTTTTAAAGTTGCCATATAAGTATATGCAAAGCTAATTTTTTTTTCTGAAGTACATTTGGATAGATAATAATTTTACCTTTCCTATTTTCTGATAGCATTGTTGATCAAAATGAAGTCTTTTGTCTTTTGATATGCTGAGCACTGTAGTCGAAGTTGTGATAGACGTAGAAGTAACTGAAAGATAACAGCGTTATATCACACATTCACAATAATATGTTTATTAATCTTATCTAATTTTTATCAGCCAATATCCTGTTATTACCCTTTATAAGCAGCTTAAATATTACTCAAGATTATGTTATGAATATTGAATAAGCATTTCTTGATTCATGTAAATTTTAATAAAAATGGAACAACTACCTGAACATATTTAAAATTTCCTTCTCCTCCCAGTTAAGTAATACAACTGTCTTCCTTATTTGACTTTTGAAAAAAAGAGTCCCAAAAGCGTGAAAAAGCGTGAAAATGCGTAAAAATCTTTCACTTCTTTCTTCAAATATAAATACATTCATAGTACTAGGTATATGATAATTGGCAGTATTAAGCAAAGTAAGCTATCTTTTGATTACTATTATGTTGAATTATCGCATTTCGCAGAGCATACTGTTGTGGCATGTCTAATTTGTGATTAGAATCTCGTCGAGAAAGAGGTTAACTTATCACATTTTCTTACTCGGACAGTATTAGTAGTCTTGCCGGTGGCATGCAAGCTAAAATCTATTGTGGACAATGATTTGTCACTCCCTTGGATTTAGTCAACTGCATCTCGGGCGTTTCCCTTGTTACCCTTTACGTGGAGAAGAATATAAGGAGCTACCGCACTCCCCCGTGCGAGCTCTCACACTATAAGTGGCACCACATCCAAATAGCAATTGGAAGATCCGTGGTTCGAATTTCAGAGACAGCATAATTTCTTTTTTTACGTTTCTTACTCCGAAAAACATATATCTACAGTATGCAACTTTCGATTTTTTATTAAGTAAAACTAATTTTGCATAAATTTATCTCCTCCATTGTAAACTTGAGTATTCAGTAAGCCTTTTATTCTTTTAGTCTTTCATAATCCGTATAGCTACGATTTAAAAAATTCGAATAATTGAATCAGCATTCATGATTGAATTAAATTATTTATAAAAATTGAAAATCAAATGACTATTTATTTTTTTCTATTTACTTTTATTTCCATTTACTCGTTTTTTTTTTTTTTTTTTTTTTTTTTTTATTTATTTATTTATTGTTATTTTTTACTTCTATTTATATTTTGTTATCCAATAGGGAGCTACTTTGCTATTATCGTGCATTGTGAAAATGTACGCTAAATGTTAGTTCTGCGACAGTAAAGAAAACGTTTTCGGGAAGTAGATAGAATTCCTCACATTACAGTTAAATGAATTTGAGGTCATTTGGCGGCTAAGAGCTAAAACCATAGAAGTCTGATAGTTCGACCGAAGTTCAAATTCTGGTAAATGGGCTTCCCTAGATCAGCGTTTTCAGCCGCCCAGTCTCGGTATAGAGGTCAGGGAAGCTGACAGCGAATGAAGGGCCTGGGTTCGAATCCCGAAGAAGGCATGGTTGTAACTGTCCGTGCCTTCATAGGAAAGGCGATGGTGCCCCACCTATTAAGTGCCTCCATAATAAAGAGACCACCACATCCGGCCTTGTTACCCTTTACCTCTCTATAATCTCCTCCTCTAGACCTCTCTATAATCTCAAGACCTCTCTATAATCTCAAGTTTTTTAATAAGAGCTTGGATATCAGTTGTGTATTACGAACGAATTTGCGTCACCTTGTATTTTTATGGTTTGAAGATCGCTATACTGTTTCTTTTCACAGTTCTTAGCTTTTCTTATTTCTAGTAGAATTGTGTTCCTCTTAATTTGTATCAGTTAGTGCATTCTATATGCTAGAAATGAGAAGATCTATGATTCGATTTCAGATGAGGAGAAGATTGATTTGAAAAACTTGACAGTTATTAAAAATATGCTTCTCCACTATTTACTGGGAGTTATCTATCAGTTTTTCACATTTCATTAGAGTACAGGGTATAAGGAAAAGAAATGATGGAAAATATTGACACGTATATCCCAAATCAATCTGTTTATTACATTATGGTTTGCACATCTAGAAAGAAGATCTTAAAATGTTTTGACCCGCGGAAAGACTTTTTTGAAGCAGACTTGACCTGTTTTTTAGATTTGGCATTCCCAAATTACGGAGATGATAGGTGTAAGGCATATTAGTGATACTTTCGAAACGGATCCACGGAAAGAGAATCAACTAGATTTTGTAGGGTTCAATTTATGTGGAAATTTAATAAATCAATGTCCCTCAGACATTACTAGAGAAGAAATAAAGTAAAAATGAACTATCGTCCATCTGAATTAATATGACGGAGTCCTAAAAAGGTTAACATGACCTCTTTGTTAAATCTTTAAATTAAACTCAAGACACCTCTTGTACTTACAAATAAACTTCTTCACTGCAGATATTAGTAAAATAAGTTTGTACGTATTTTAAATAACATAAAGATAAATTCAGATTCAAATATCGTAGTTAGAGACTAGACATGTTAGCCTGTTTAAGCTGGTTTAATAGGTTAATGGCAAGTTTTAATGTCGTTTTGCGAAATGGATCCGGAATATTCATTGGCTAAGCTGGCCGATCAAACGTAAATTGCCGGCGATAATGGCAAAAAATCTCACTCTAAAACATTCAGAACTCTGTATTTAAATGTTCTGTTAACTAATTTATATTTTGGTGAGGACTACGAAAGCGGAAATTACGGTAAAAAGTTCTAATAATTGTTTTATTAACATTAAATTGCTGATAACTTACCCAGAGTACACATAGCGCCCACATACAGGTGCACTAACACGCTCCTGCTGTGCAAACCACAATGCAATAAACAAATTAATTTTGGATACATCTATTCGTCTTTTCATCACTTCTTTCCCGAATACCGTGCATTTTAATAAGGTGAATTTTTAATTTTTTTATTATTATTTTTTTAATTTTTTTTATTTTTTATAAAATAGCATAATAAAAATTCAAGGAAAAAATAAATAATTGAAAAAAGTTGTATTCCAAAAAAAATTGTCTTTATCTCGGCTGGCGTTGCATATTTAATACAGAAAAAATAAATGGATGCTTATTAGGATAAAAACATACCTATGTGAAATTCAAAAATTCCAAAAACTATTTGTAAACCAAAGATGAAAATCGTTAGTCTATCAGTGCTCATAAAAGAAGTGGCAATGCAGGTTTTGCGATTTTACAATGTTTCTAATTTTATGATTGCATGAAAAATACCAACGTCCGAGTAACGAGGTGTATTTTATTTACAACTCATATACACTGAGAAACATGGGGGAAAATGCATTATTATGAAGAACATAATATGCGAGTGATAATTAATGATACATTTGAGTCCATGTTCAGTCTTATGTTTGCTTTTCTAATGCAAGCTCAGTCTGGCAAATTTCAAGTTTGCTTAACCTTTTTTCATTTCAAAGATGTTCGTCATATAAGAAGAGGTAACAGCAAAGGAAGCATTCAAGTTAATTAAAATGTTAATTTCATTCCTTTCGAGCGCATGACAGAGTACAAAAAAGGAAACTTTGCTTTTTGAAAGTTGGTACACCGGTATATTAACACCTTCGTAAGAAGGTAGAATGGGAATCTAGTACTGAAAATGGAGTGGGATTGGGCAAGGACCGAAGCCCAGTCTTCTGTACCAAGGTTCGTTCAAAAGGTGCAGAGGAGCCACTAATTCGTGAGGCATGTGTTGTGTATCCCTATGTCTTCGAAGATCCACTTTGCGTTGAAAAGCTCGTCCACACGTGAAGCAGGCAAAAGGCTTGAAACCAGTATGCTTTCTGGTGTGAGTGATCAGATTGGAAGACTGGCTGAAAGCTTTGCCGCAGACAAGACATTTGTGCGGTTTTTCACCTAAAAATATAAAAAAAAAGAGACAATTTTTCCGTCTTGCAAAAAACAACGGAATTGATTTTTGTTGTTTTCTTGGATAGTTTAAATATTCCTAATTTCAAATTTAAAGTAAGAGTGAAATACAACAGCTTTTTTAGAATATTCTGCTCACAAAATATTAAGATGCAAAATTTGTTTAATTTTATCCATCTGTTTCTCATTTAAGAAGGCCTCATTTTCTTTGCTCACCTTAAGCCTTTTTCAGGAAAATAATATAAAGAGAAATACAATGAAATTTGACATAGAAAACACCGCTAGTGTTTTTGATTAATTTAATGTTTCTAACTCCGGTGCTGCATGGTAAATAATAAAAAAATTAATTTGAATTATTATATTATTAGAAAAACTTATCCTTTGAGTTCATTTAGTAATAGTAGTATCAAATTTTAAACTTTGTTTGTGTGACATTTCGCAACCATTCCTGTTACTCTGTTAAAGATCAAATATGTTGCGTTCAGCAATAATTAAAATTTGATTTAAAGAAATCATAGTTATCACTATTCCTGGTTTTATATTCTACTGTACATTTCACTTGCATCAAGTTATCATCGTCTGGATTTGCAAAATATTCAAATTTTCCCATTATCCGATTTGAATTTAAAAAGATTTATTCATCACCTTCCTTCAGTATTTTGTGAAGAAAGGTTTGCAAGCATTTCTCATGAAATTCAATTCATTAAAACGCAGTAAATTCTGCATTTATCTGAGTTTTCTATTTTTTCGGTGTTGTATGAACGTAATATGTTGCGAATTGATAATATAGGATATACACTGGTGTGCAAAAATTAAGGACGTAGTCGAAAAATTTGCATATCAGCTGAACGAAGAGGCAACGCGGACAGAAAGACCATCAGGAGATTAAGTAAGGTGATGTACGGTAGCACATGCGCAGATATGCAGGTAGACGTAATGGGGGAGTGTCTGAGTAGTATAAAGCATGTTGTCGGTGTAAGATTGTAAGGATCTTAAGTTTTACTAACGTTTATTTTATTTTAAATCTTTACTATCACTTCTTATTTTCTACTTCCGGCCAGAATTATAAGCGTGAAGGAGTTTATGCAAAGTTGTCTGGCGAACGCCAAGTATTTAAGTGTGGCCTTTTTGCCAAGCAAAAGAGAGGAAGCCGTGAGTTCGAAGCAGGCCGCTTACCTTAGAAGTTACGCAGTTGCTACTTTGCCTTCCAGGCCAGAGGTTTTAATCCTCTTGATAAATTAAACGTATTGTAGTGTTCACAGTCTCTGTGCTACATACGCTTTCCTGTTATTATAAGGCCAATCTTATTCTAAAGTTAAATTAGAGTTTAGTTTTATTTTGATATCTTTTACGTTAGACCCCGAGTGGAGGGTCATTGTATTCCGAAGTACGGAAGTCATTGTATATAAAGAAAAAAATAAAGGGTTTTGTATACCCTTCGTCTGTATCCTGTCTACTTACTACAATTAGTGAACATAGCTTTAGTAAGCTCTCTGTTCTAGTCAGGTCATTGTATGTTTCCGAAGAAGGTTAGAAGAAACATTGAACCTGATAAGATCAGTATATCTGGCAAAGAGATTGCACGCCGTATAGCAGTTAAAGTCACACCGAGTTGCTGCCTTAGCGAGAAATGGCGAATAATCAATCTGTTAGACGACATCTGGATGCTTTTACCCGAGGTCGAATCATTGGGAAGTTGGAGGAAGGCCTCAGTGTAACAAGTGTGGCTACAGAATTCGGAATTGCTCACAGCATCGTTTCACGACTTTGGAGACAATTTCAAACTACAGGAACAGCTATGTGGGGGTTTAGTAGTGGTCGTCCACGAGGAACCACACCCGCAGATGACCGGTATATTGCCTTATAGGCCAGAAGAAACAGGCGGCAGACAGCGGGAGAAATCGCTAGACACACGACACAGGCGACTGAACGACCGATATCGCGTTTTACCGTGGCCAAAAGACTGCACGGTGGTGGTCTGTTTGCACGACGCCCTGTACGGTGTGTACCTCTAACGCCTGCCTATCGGAGAAGGCGTTCTCTGTGGTACCGGGAACACCGGAATTGGAGAGACAATGAATGGGGACGAGTACTCTTTACAGACGAGAGCAGATTCAGTCTGAGTAGCGATTCTCATCGCATACTCATCTGGAGAGAGCGGGGAAGCCGCAATCATCCCTCGAACATCATTGAAAGGGACAGGTATGGAGGTGGCGGTGTTCTCGTTTGGGGAGGCATCATGCTTGGTAGTCGTACAGACCTTCACATCTTCGACGCAGGTTCAGTCAACGGGACCCGTTATTGTAACGAGATTCTTCTTCCATATGTGCGTCTTTTTAGAGGCGCTATGGGTCCGCAGTTCTTTTTCATGGACGACAATGCACCATGTCATCGCACAGTAGCTGCCGAACAGCTCTTAGAGAGTGAGGATATTGAACGTATGGATTGGCCGGCACTATCTCCGGATCTCAATCCCATCGAGCATGTATGGGATTTTCTAGGCAGACGCTTGGCACCTCGTACCTTACCACCAGTAACGATTCCGGAGCTTCGATTGGCGCTGCAAGACGAATGGGCAGCAATGCCTCAACAACTCATTGACACACCCTCATTCTCAGCATGGGCAGACGCTGTGAAACCTGCCTAGCAGTCAGGGGAGATCATATCCCCTATTAAAGACCGGATGTTTCTTGCTGGACACCCATCACAGGGATGTTTCGGCCTTCAGTCGCATTGCGCTCCATGCTACATTTTCAATAAAGCTTCTTTTTATTCCTCTGATTTCTCTTTTAGTAAGTGTTGCTTACATTACTCATGTCCTTACGTATTGGGGATCTTACGGTATTAAATGTGTTGATTTGGAAAGCTTTTGTACAAAGTTATATTGAAAAAACCGTCTCGTCCTTAATATTTGCACACCAGTGTATACAAAAGAATGGCGCGATTTCAGAAGCTAATAATTTAATTCTCTCCCTGCACGGAAAGCAACGGGAAGTTAATTTTTGATTACTTACTTTTGAATGCTTTTACAAGACTTCTTGCATCACAATAATTATCGATAACTTTCCTTGGATAACCACTTTGAGATTTCTCCAGCACACTTCCCGTTTACTTGTAATTTTTAATTAAAGTCTGTAAAGTTGCATGATATATCCCAACAATTTTACATATTTTCCCATTAGATTTCTTCTCATGTCTTAATTTTACGATAAGATATCTGACATCTAATGAAATTCCTTTCCTTGGAATCACTTTTTCAAACTACGATATCTTTTGGAAACGAGAATCAATATTATGAATTTCATGCATAGTTGAGGTACTCTTGGCTTGGTGTTTTCCCAAAACGGAAGAAAACAGCCGCATATGCAAATTTAGTTAAGAGCCAATAACTGCTATACTGACTTTTGTGACGCGTGCTGGTTTCAACAAATCTGCGTATAACTTCCGTGTTTACCTTATTTAAGCTGTTATTTTGGGGAAAATATATTTTATATGGGTAACATAACAATTAATGTAAGTTAACAATTTAAATTTTAATTAGTGTTTGATAAACCTCAATTTTAATGGGTGTATGTGGACTTCTGTGACTGTGTGTATATTGGTGAGTTTACGTTCCCACCTGCTTACGGGACAGCTTTGTGTTTTCATTATTACTTTTCTATTGCTTCGAAAATTCAAGTTTAAAATTTATAAACATGAAACGCACACTAAGCCAAAAAAAAAAAAAAAAAAAAAAGATACGAGTCCATTTTTGATAGAAAATTCATCTAAATTTTTTTAAAAGAATCCCTTATTCAATATCTTGCAGCACGTACATTTCCCCCAGTTACATGCCATAGGGCTAAACCGAGAAGTATTGTAGCTTTGAATTCTATTCCTAGTGACTGAATTGGCTGGCTGCATGAGGCTTTCGTGGTTTTCTTCATGTGTAACAGTAATATAAGTTAGTTTCCCTTAGGGTTCAAGTGTACCACGAAATCTCTCTTTCCTTAAGCAAACAGCTTTAAATCATTTTACCATTATTAAAACAATCCAATCCAATTTAAATCTTTAAATTTCGCATGATTGAAGTGTCATTAAAGCTTTAGACAAAATAATGGAAATAAAGTAGGTCACTAAGATGAACATCTGAAGTAAACGACGAGACACTTACCTGTATGTATAAAGGTGTGCTTTTTCATGTCTGACTTCTGATGAAATCTCTTTCCGCAGAATTGGCATGGATAGGGCCTTATATCGGAATGTATGAGTAAATGTGTAGATAGTGTAGAAGACCTCTTGAAACCTTTTCCGCATTGTTTACAAACAAAACTCTTCTCCGGAATGCTCGAGTTCGTCGAGTTCTTCACCGAACAATGTCTGGCTAGAGGGCTTGAACAAGGTATACACGGCGGAGGTTTTCTAAACAGATATTACATATTTTACCAAGTATTAGTGTTTAGTTTGCATAAAATGTACATTTAATGAACATATATTAAACCACACATAAAAATCATTCTCCTGCGTGAAGCACATCTCTACAGCTTAAACTGAAGCCCGGAAGAGAAACTTATCAAACACTTTCAGAAAATTTTAACCAATTATAAAAATTTGAGAGTAAGTGATAACTATTTGATTCTTTATAAAATAGATTTATTCAGAAAGCATTAATTTATTAACCGACGTAAATCATTTTTCTTGCTGGTATTCTTTTAAAAATGTTCAGCATTCTTTCTAAAGCATATCAGTCTGTTCTCACCACTTTTGTCAACAATCGAATGTAATTAAAACAATTTTCAAAAAGCTGATGGGTACACCACATGACTTCCTTGTACGGAATATTAAATTATGCGCAATTTTTCTACACTTCATTTCCTCGAATTTCATTAGAGATATATTTCTCATTCAATTAATTCAGTTCTCACTTCGTAACAAAGCAAAAATAGATAAAAACTCAAAATATTTTCATCAAAAATTGAAAGATATAAAAAAAGACCTAAAACACTAAATACAGTTAAATTTTTTTTAAAAAAAACTATTTTTATAATTAAGCTTACAGTTTCTACGCAAAAACAAGCAATTCAGCCAGCAGGAAAAGGGCAGATTTTTTCGGTGCACAAAACTAAAATATCCTTTTGGTCCCACTCGACAAAAAGACATTGAAGGTGCAGAAAGAATTAAGTCCCTATTCTGCTATGTTTCAAACGTAAACAAGTATGGCTTCTATAGTAAAAAAAAAAATAGGCTTAGCCGCACTTAAACAACTTTTAAATTGCTGATAATTCTACAAATATTGCACGCAGATTAACTAAAGGCATAAAAACCTTACCGGAATGCAAGCACAACATAACTCTATCATTTTTAAAGCAAAAAATGCACAATTTACCAACATATGAGAATAAAAAATCTGATTTATTCACCACATGACTTCCTTGTGCGGAATATTAAATTATACGCATTTTTTCCTGCATTTCATTTAAACGTTTTCCCTCGAATTTCATTAGAGATATAGTTCTCATTCAATTAACTTAGTTCTCATTTTGCGACAAGGCAAAAACACGTAAAAACTCAAAATATCTACATTAAAAATTAAAAAGAAAAACATAAAACACCAAATACAGTTAAAACAAAAGAAACCAATTTTTACAACTAAAATTACAGTTTCTACGCAGAAACAAGCAATTCGGCCAGCGAGCAAAAAGGCAGATTTTTCGGTGCGCAAGACTAAAAGTTTACTTTTGGCCTCACTCGGCAAAAAGACACTGAAGGAGTAGAAACGGAGTTAAGTTTCTTGTGGACGCTATACTTTTGGCCTCACTCGGCAAAAAGACACTGAAGGAGTAGAAACGGACTTAAGTTTCTTGTGGACGCTATACTGAGTCACTATATGAGATAATTTAATAACTTAGATGATAATTTCAGAATGGACTAAGCATGATTTAATAACTTAAATGATAATTTCAGAATTAACTAAGCATGATTTAATAACTTAAATGATAATTTCAGAATGGATTAAGCATGATTTAATTCGCAATAATAAAAGATGTTACTTTGTTCTTGCAAAGTTTAGTTTCTCTAAATTGGCAACAAATACACTATTCTGATAAGTTTCAAATGTAAACAAGTATGGCTGCTATGTTAAAAAAAGTTAGGCTCAGCCGAGCTTAAGCAATTTTTAAATGGTTGATAATTCTACAACTATAACATGCAGGTTAAATAAAGGTATAAAAACTTTCACCGGAAGGTAAGAACAACATAATTCAATTATATTTAAAGCAAAAAATGCACAATTTACCAACATATAAGAATAAAAATCTGAGCGCACGGAGCCGAGTAACTGGGTGGGTACATAAGTACTTTTGGTGCTGCGATTGTTACCAAAAAGGGAGGTGCACAACTGCATGCTATGACAGTCGTATATGCAAAATTTCAACGTTCTGAGACTACTCTTTTTTAAGCCACGCGAGATACATCCGTACGTAAGTATAGACACTACGAAAAAATCTCTTCTGAATGCATTTTAAATATCAGTTTTATAATTCGTTTGAGGGAAAAGAGTCCTTTGTTCTGTACTAATGTACAGATGTCACGCAAAAAACATCGTTAAATTGCATTCGATTAGCTGTCAAAACGGATATTTTCGTTGAAATACTTCTTCGTTGAAATGATATACCCTTTACTTCGTACAAGGAAGTAAAAATTATGTTCTTTAAAATGTTAAAACCCTCAATTCAAGACGATTGTTAATTTCTTAGTACAGTTAAGTTATAAGTGACATAATTTTTAACAACCTATATAAGATTATTAACAGAATACGACACCAGCAAAATCATATGTTTTAAATATAATAGGAAATTTTTCCCTTTTTAACTCTTTTAAACATTTAAGCACATAAAGTACTCAAAAGGACAATACTTTAAAAAGTGTAACTTTTTCTAAAGTTTGCTTAAGAAAAGATCATTGTGATTAGTAACTAGAGTTAAACAGTTCATAATTTGGCGCTTTTACGTATATTACACCAAAAAGGAAAGAATTTATTTAGACTTTTTACCTGAAAAAGAGTAATGGTTTTTACTTGAAACAATATACTCTTTCTTTTCTGCTGTTTTTGTGTTTCATTTTCTTCAAATATGAGGAGTACCAGAGTATACAGAATATGAGGAGTACTAGAGTATATAGAATTAATTTTTAAATCAGTAAATAAAGCAAAAGTGTTAAAATTCTGGGAATGAAACTGTAATGTAAGAATTCGACATAAACAGCAAGTACTTTGAAAAACAAACCAATAACCTCGATAATGAAAAATGTAGTTTCTCGTTGACTCTTTCCCGCTGGTATAAAGCTCTCAAGTTGAATGATAGAATTTGACGACAGCGGGTATAGAGCAACAGAATCCTAAAACACTTGATAACTTTTTAAGAATTTAAATATTAATTTACTTTTATGAATTTAAGTATTTGCAGTTCGTTAGCTCATTAGGCTTCTTTCAGTAGACTTTATATCAGCCAAACCTTAATACACTGGTAAATGTAAATTAAGGAACAGTTAGTAAAATCATTCTAAACACAAACTATCCGAAGAACTTTAATCAATATTTTGTAGCAACTATAAACTACGTAATGAATATTAATAAAAAAAAAGATTTCTATCGAAAAATACCTCACAGATAAATTTTCCCAAAATGTGGCAAAACTTCAGTATCAAATATAGAAAATACTTCAGTAGCATATGTAATCATCAGGAAAAAATTTAACCTATAAGCTACACTGGCATTTTCTCCGAAAGCTTTAAAATTCTGCGAAAGGAAATTTTCATGTACATTGCAAAATTTTGCGTAAGACTGCATGACTGAATTTATAGTTACATTATTCATTTTTCTAATGTGATTTTTAAGACACGAATAACTCTCAATAATAAATTGCATTAAACTATCTTCCTATTTCTAACAATATTTTGCCTATTCCGTCATTAATACTGTCACGAAAATCATCAGATTCTCATATTTGAAAAAAAATTAAAAAACTGGAAGTTATTTTTCACGTAAACTCAAGTAGAATATTTTCTCAGAATTAGAAGTGAATCGATTGAGTGGTTCAAGAGACATAGTTAGAAAAAGTTATTTCGTTGTAAACATCAGACTGTGCAACAAGAGATATTATTTTATCAATTAATCAAGTTTGAAAGAAATGTTTTTATTGCAAACATAATCTTATTTTCAAGCTTTTGAGATCTCAGATTATTGTAGTACTTTCTTTAAAAGCCTCTCTGACAACATAAAATTAAGTAATAGAGTGCCCTTAACCTGCTTATTAGAGAATGCATGCTTGGTTTCATCGATTCCAAGACTGATTTAGGAAATCCTAAAGACTATCGCAAGCAGCTGCTTAAGAATTTCTCAAACGCAGTTTTTCTAATTTCATCGAAGCTCGCTACATTAGCAGCTACGGAATCAGCTTGTTTTGAGAAATTTTATCAAGCAAAATGAATATCGCAAGAGATGAAAACGTAAGTCACGAACTCCATTAAAATCAATTTGTTCTCTCTTAGGGTTTCTTCAATAATAATTACAAATAAAATATTACTGCTTGAACTTAATAATAGCCCACTGAGATTTGAAAACCATCCTATTCCATCTTACATACCAGGTGATCTATTAGGTTAGTTAAACATAAAGGCCAGATTGATGCTTAGGCCTACGGATTATGACAAAATTTCTCATATCATGCTTTTCCCTCGACAAAAGGAAGAATAGAATCTGAGCTTTTGAAAATTGCTGCTTCTAGACTGCAGGTTTGCTTAATCGAGCTTTAATTACGTGCGGGATTTCCTGAAATTCAAAATATTTTAAGAGAAGTATTCGAAGGCCAGATTCTTACCTTAACGCTTGAGAGATGTGTGAAGCATTGAACGTCCATTGTCCCCCTTGACATCGCAGTCCGCAAAGGCAACGAGCCGCTTGAAGTTTCCTCTGTTCTGTCCTGCTATCCACAGGTTCCGTAGAAGGGGAGTGGAAAATTTGTGGAGGGAGAGGAACCGTAGTTAGAGTATCACCATCACTCGGAAACTGGAATCCGAACCTCTGCGGCACGAACGTGAGGAAGGTGGTCTGGGTAGAAAGAGGCTCGATCTCTATAAAGAAAGGAAAGGAATTTGAACGTTTTTTGAAAGTTTAGAATAAAAGAAAAAAAATTATAAAATATTGTTCTAGAGTTGAAGAAAAGTATTTTTTTCAGCTGATTACATCAGATTATTACTTTTTTATGAAATATTATTTTTCATCAAATTTTAAACAAGGCTTGGTGCAAAAACCTCATGTAAATATTCGTTTCTACAAACTCACCCATTTTTAAACAATATCGCATTCTCGCTTGTATAAGCTGCATTTTTTTTCATATATAGGAGCAATAATTAGTGGTGAGATTTACTCATCATGGTTGAGTGAATTAGATCACTAAATACTGATGCATCTATCCAGGTTCAAATCCCAACGAACTGGCTGGGCTGTATGGGTATTCTCGTGGTTTTCCTTATAGTTAACGTGAGTACATATTTCATTTACAGAACCTTGCATGAAAGCATACTTCTCCTAAGCAAGCAGACTTCTTATAATTTATCATTTTCGAGTAACTGAACAAGCTAATCTTACACACAGAAACAAATTTTTAAAAAATGAATGTCTAGTCTCAGGATGCAAAAATGTATCGACCTACACTATTATCTGCATTCCAGAAAGAATGGACTTTAAAACTTATATTAGGCTACCAAAAGTACAAGATGATGTGCATGTTTTATTGCCAGAAGTACTTTATTTTATTCCGATGAAAGTAGCTGTTCATGGCCTTCCTTCTTTTTTTAATGACAATTTTATTAAAGCTGTAGAGCCATTAGGTGTTTTATGAAGCAGGAGATGTGAAAAATGTGCAGTCCTCTCACCGGGCTTCTAACTTTGACTGGTCCTTGGACCTCCGAATAAGTATCCAATTATACCACGGAGGCATGCGGAAAGGAGAGAGAAAATATCTTATAACGCTGTAAAATCACATAACTATATGACCAGTATACTTCGTAGATGTTGGTTAATTAGGTGATTGTGACAAAGCGTTCGAGACAAGTGTAGGGTAGATATGCATTTGTGGAGGTCTTTTTAAAGAAACTTGGGCCTACATTCAATGTTACACATGAAGAAGAACTTAAAACGCTTATGCAACTAGACCGTTTGTAAGAATTTGATCACGAGTCTAACTATCAAGGTTCAGCGATTACCATTGGTAAGCCGTTCTTTTTATGTGTTAATATTAGACGTTGTTATTAAATGATAAGACTGTATTTTATCAAAATCACTGTAAAACCGCTACGTTCAAAATTTAAAATATTTCATTTTGCATTTGTAGCATTTTGCATCATACATGTTGTAGTCATTTTTTACCTAGCTAAGTTGACCATTTTTATACCTAAGAATTAAGATAACAGCTTTAGAGACATTAGAATTTTTTTTTGGAAGCAGGCAAGATGAAAAATTAGCAAACGCCTTCACCGGAAATCGAACCACGGACCTCTGGAATACCGGCCCAGCGTGCAGAGCCACTACACCAGGAAGACACGGTAGGAAGGCGAGAGAAATAACTTATAGTACAGTAATTCATATCTATTCTATCATTCAATCAAAAACTATTTTTTGAAACATATTGTGGTGCAAATTAGTTTACCTTCACGCTAATCAATATACGTATAACCAGCAAGTGTGCGTCTTCAATTATCCTGCCTGTTGTCCAGATTTGTCCTCCTTTTCCAATAACTAGAATTGCCTCTCGAGGGAAAGTTTTTCTGTTCCTTTTTATCCCTTTTAATATTAAAGAGATGAAAAAATTGAGTTATCTGCTCTTAAAGTCATGTGACTTTTCTAGACTGTATTAGTCTTTCATTTCTTTCGAGTTTCGACTTTCATTAGCATGAAAGAATAGCAGTTCGAGTAATATACATCAGTATAAATGTCAAAGTTTTCCATTTTTAAAACACTGTTTCATTATTTATTAGCTACATCATGTACATAAAGGCCGAAATTCGTACGTTTTACGAATTTTTTCGGTATATACAATAATTTTTTGCGCGGTGTATACATTTCAGCCCTTCGAAAAGTAATAACGACTTCGGCTATGACTTAGTAATAAAAACCACAATAAAGTTAAATCTGCTGTTACTAACCTCGACAAAATTTCTTACCTTTTTTGTGGAAAGTGATCAGCCATGAAAAATCTTATTTTACCCGATGAAAAGAGCGATTATTTTCTGAATCAGAAGTCACCTGGAAATTTCTTCCTTGATTGAATCCAATTTGTCAATTTAAAATCAGTTTCTACTTTATGTATCTTACACTTTAAAAAATGCTTCATATAGTAGGTTTTTATTTTTGTGAGTAAGAAAGCTGTTCTAAGGAAGTAAATTATTTTACTTTTGTAGATCTGGATAAGAACAAGTTGAGTCCTTTAAAAGAACTGAATATGATCTTGTCGAAAACAAAATTTGGATGGCCGCTATTAACTTTTCGCATTTTCTGAGACTAGAAGCTTTTAAAGAAAAAGTTTTATGCTCCAGTTATAAAGTAAAAAAAAAACCTCAATGGTGAAAGTGAAATTTTTTTTTCAAAACGGCTTAAAGAAGTAGCCAATTTGCCAATTATCGCTTATCTCGAAGGGTGAAAGGTTAAGAAATATGCGACTTCTCAGTATTTATTGATTGAATAGATCATTCTGAAATAATTCATGTTATTTAGTAATAGCCAGTATCTGGAGAATAAAAAAGGCTTCTAAACAGTTGTAAAAAGATTGGAAAGCTTCTTATTTGTCTTCGCAGATAGAAAATTATTCTTCAAGTGATATTTTAAACGCAATAAAAGCAGGGAAGTTTTTTAATTAGCTGTCAAATAAAACTTAACAGTGTGCAAGAGGAATCTGAGCATGGAAATGGACAAAGAAAGCGTAGTGATTCTTATTCGTTAAAATGCTGAAAGACAATGGGAAAAGTGCTGAAAAGACAGGAAAGTTAACAGCTTTGATTGTAAAAAAAAAAAAAAAAAAAAGAGGTTGGAGGGAGGTATTTTAGAAACATTGTATTATTTCCTACCTGATGATGTTAATAAAAGATGTTACTAAAATGATGTTAATAAAAGACGTGGATGACTTCAACGACTCTTCAAGTCCTTTTTTCCACGTATACTGCTGTTTTTGAAGGTCGTCATGCCGCTATAGGTTAATATTAGAAAACATGAGGCTTGAATTATTGCATTTAAATTTTGCAAGCAAACTTAAGCCATTAAATTTGGATATTATCAAGTGCTTTCAGATGTTTTACCACAAAGAATTGGTAACCAATAAAAATTAATGTTTTGGTTTAATTGATTACGCCAAAGCACACAAGAGCTATCTAGGGAAGGGATGCCTCCGTGAAGGATTTTCTAAAGGCAACTGGCTCGTGTACGCGTTACATATGAGGAAAACCATGAAAACGCCTATGCAGCCAGCCCGTTTGCCGGGATCCGAATCCTGGACGAACTACCAGTACTCAGCTCAATAAAATTAATTATGCTTAAAAATACCCGTTAAATATATTCGTAAGCTACATGTACGACTTTTTTTTTTTTTTTTTTTTTTGCTCATAAGAGCACGTCGGTGCTACAAAGATTTCTTTTATTGTTTTTAAAAATATTAATTTCTCATTACGTATCTGAGCTGTTGATCTATAGATATCTACTCAAAAGTAAAAAATAATAAATGGGCCTTGCTGTATAGAAGACTAAGTCTTCCACAAAAATGACACTCTATATTAGAAACATAAATTCTTAGGCTTGAGGGAAATAAACTATGGTACAGTAGATGTCGCTTTTCTTCAGCAGCAAAAGAGTCTTCTTCTCTTTTTTTTTTTTTTTTACTTATTACTTGCCTTCGCCCTTAGGTACTTCATCGAAAAGGAAGAATGTCCGTGGAGGTCTTTTTAAGGGAAACTGGCTCGCAGTGTTCGGCCGCTAGTGGGCCAGCCAAAAAGTCTGCATTTTGTTTTTCCCGAATATATCTAAACCAAACTAAGCTGTTTTGCTTAATTTTAAATTTTACATTGGTAGGCTCTCTTCGAACGAGGGATGCCTCCGAGTGTTGAGATTAGCGGTACAGCAGTAGTCCAATAAGCTCTCCGAACAGTTGATTAATAACAGCTCATTAACAAACTTCTGCATCTTCCTAATTAAAAGGCCATGGAAAAGCTTGTTGCAATGTTTCTAGTTATATTTATATTAAATTAGTTATATTCCATTTCTATTCTGAAGGATATATTTTCCTCATCTCTTAATATTGTCATTCGGTTAATGTTATCAAAACAGCCGTGGACAAACGTGATGATAATTAAGCCGCGCCCGCTGTAATTATTCGAAAAGATGGTTGAATCATTGAAACACCTCGAAAATTCTTCTACTACAGCCATCAAAAGCGATTTATCGGTACTAAGCTACTGGTGAAAATTAAGAAACTGCTTCGTATATTTCTAGCACAGAATTCACGGTATTGAAGATTAACAAAAACGTGCTTGGGATTAGAAACGCAAAGTAAATTTATATCCTTAAAATAGTATACTCATACAGTGGGTAAAAAAGGTATTGGCAATTGCTTATAATTGTTCATATTTCCTAACAAAGGGAATGCTTCACAGTTTTTATTGACATAACGAATACAGGAGGTAAAAAGAAAAACGAAAATCTAATGAAACTTTCAATTTAATATGCCTTTACACAAAATATGCAACTAAAACGTAAATTTGCTTGTCAAAAATGTATTGGCAATGCTCTAACTGCTATGCAAATTTTGTTATGTTGAGGTCACGCGTTTAGACTGATAACAAACCTTGTTAATATAAAGTATGCAGTGTTACTTCAAAACTTTTAAAACGTTATTTTGCTAATACTGTGATCGAAGTCGAAGGAGTTGGTTATTAATGTTAAAAACGTAATTATCCAGCTCAGAAATGAGGGTTTAACTTATCGTGCTATAGGATTACAACTGAACATAAGTTTATTTACTGTTAGAAGTGTAGTAAAATGGTTCAAAGAGACAGTATCGACGGAAAATAAGATTAGAAGTGGACGGCATCGAATATTTTCTGCAAGGGAAAACGTGGCATTATCAAAGAGGTTAAGAAAATCTCCAAATAAGTGCACCCCTGCTAGCCAAAGATGTTGCTAATATTTTGCATAACACTTTTAGTCGACAGACTATACGGAACGTCTGACATAGAGGAAATTTATATGGAAGGGAAGCTAGAAAGAAACCTTTCTTTTCAGAAATAAACAGGAGAAAGGGATTAGATTTTATAAAATCTAATTTTAATTTATCAGAAGAACTTTGGAACACTGTCATTTTGTCCGACGAATTGAAGTTTAACATTTCCGAGAGTGATAGACGACGATTTGTGTGGATAAAGCTTACCACCGAACTGGAAAAACAACATTTGACTGTAAAAAATGTTGGAGGGAGCATCGTTGTTTGTAGCGTTATGGCAGCCACCCACAAACGGAGTTGGTAACCTGTGCTTCATGGTTGGTATTATGACAGCACATACATACATTGACATATTGCGCCATAACATGAAATTCAGTGTCCATATACTTGGATTAGGAACATCACTTGTATTTCAACAGGACAATGACCCTAAGGATACAGTGAACCTCACCTGGCAATAGTTACTCTATAACGCTCCTCGCCAGTTAAAGACACAGCCTCAATCGCCTGACATAAATTCAATTGAAAAATTATGGAACAAATTAGACCTAGAAGTCAAGAAACGTAACATTTTTTCTAAAGATGAACTTATGCGTATACTCATGCAAGAATGGCACACAATTTCCAACAGGACTTTAGTTTTTCCCAGCAGTACTTTTTCAGCAACTAGGACTTTGGTTTTCTCTGTGAGAAATACATTACAAGCTGTTACTAATGCAAAATGTATGAATACAAAGCATTAAATTTTGTTCCCACATTTTGCTGTACGATCTTGCCAATACTTTTTTGACATGCAAATTTACATTTTTGTTGTATATTTTGTGTAAAATGCATATTAAAACGAAAGTTTCATTAGATTTGTGTCTTTATTGCCTTCTGTTTATATTATGTCCAGCTAAAGTTGTCAAGCATTTCTTTTGTTAGCTAGACTGATCAATTATAGGCAATTGCCAATACTTTTTTTACCCACTGTATTATCAGAGCTATGCTGCGTTGGAAAGAAGTAAATCAATTAACTTGAAAATACAATAAATACAATAATACATTGAAATACAATAAATAATATAATAAATACAATAAATTATAAATATATAATACAATAAATGCAATGCAATAAATACTTGAAAATACAATAAATAGGCTTTGGGGTTTTTAGATGTAAGATGTACTTAAAAATTTAATGTGGGCAGAGCAGACGACTTACCGCGGATTCCATATTACGATATGGAATTGACGGAGTAGCTAATAGCTTTAAGTAAACTAATCACTTCCGATTGATCATTTATAAATAAAATCTAATCTATTCATAGTTTTATGGGTTATGGGTGCCCACCAGCGAGCGAGCGGTAAAGTCGCTCAACACTGGTAGTTCGGTTCGAATTCCGCGAACGGACTGGCTGCATGGGTCTTTTTGTGGTTTTCCACCTGTGTAACGTGTATACCAGCCAGTTTCTCTTATAAAGTCCTCCACGAAGGCATCCCTCCTCTTAGGCAGATAACCCTCGAGGCTTTGCCGTAATCACATAAACCCTGAACCATAATTTCATGGCTCAATGTTAATTATAAACGCTACTCTGTTTTATTATATTCTCCCATACAATGAACGTGTTCATATATACATCCGTTCTCATACTTTAAAAATATCGCATCGACCGTAGTATATCCTCTGGTCATATAGTGCATCGAATTCACAAATCAATAATTTAACGATCATAAAATTTTAACAGTAGCATATTTTTCGAATTCCTTATAAAGTGTAAAGTATTACCATACATTTATTTTTATATTTGCTAGACTATTTCTTTAAAAATAACACATAGTAAAAACATTTGATGGCAGTATCCTTTTATTTAAAAAGTGATTCGATACACGAATTCGATACCTTTTATTTAAAAAGTGTTTCGATAGTGAAAGGAATACAGAACTGAGAACTGAAGCTAATGCATTTTGTTATTGCATAACAAGAACTCGTCAACGTAATGAGCTTAGTCACGTTGCAATTAGCATTATACCCAAAGAATGCTTATATATGTAATATGCACATACCTCTTTTAAACAACCAAATACAAGCAATTTTCGATTATTTATGGATTATCTTATGACTGGATAATGAATAATACGCCCAATAATTAATACGCTTTACGTAACGGAAATTATTTGATAATGAAGAATTATTCGATAACTTTTAAATTTATCATTTTTATATCCGGCGTATAACGCGCACCTGTAATATCCGATCTTATATTTTATATTTATACGCCGGAATATACGGTATTTAAAAAAATTCACGTATTCACTTACCTGCTGTCCATGTAGGTCCACTCAAGTAGGCAGGCTCTATCCATGGATTAGAATCGAGATTCGGAACTTTCGCTTCTGCTTTTGGAAGAGGATCTTTCTTGAGAAGGTATTCAATAGAATAGCTGAAATTATGGCGGGGTTGCGGTTTATCTAAAGATGTGAATGAGAGTAATGTATTTACACTTAATTATTAAGAAATATTAGTTTCATTAGAGAAAGCATACACTGATCGACACAGTAAAATCAAAGTAACTTTTAAATTACTATTTAGGTAACATAGAGTCATCTTCCATTTTTCTGGAGGATTTTGCATTATTTGTGTGTAATAACTAGCAGCAGTAATTTGTCACATGTATAACAATTTCTGCATAGCGTGGTATTTCTATAATGTAATTTCTCTTTAACGTTATTTCCATTTAAATCTTCTAATTAAAATATATTGATTCTTAAAGCTAAACTGTTGTTCAAGTTGAGCGATGTTTTAAGATTTTACTGAAAAGTTATCTTGAATTACATCTGAATCTGAATCTCTGAATATCATCATCTGAATATTTATGCAGCAATAATTACGTATTCCTTCTAACTTTAATATTGCAACAATATTCCCAGATTTAAAACAAATCCATCTCCGTAGATTTTCTATAAAAATTTCAAGCAGTGGAATGTTTTTTCTTTCTTTTTTTTTAAAGCGTAGATTAAAAAAGAAACGGAGCAACTGATTTATTACGAATTAGTAGTAACATTTCAGTCAATCAGCCTAAATGGTGATCGCATATATCGAATACGGGCAAGCGAGATTTTGTTATAATCTTCGACTTAAAATTTTGGATGGGTGGATTTGAATCAAGGTGGATTTGAACAAACCCGGCTTACCAAAAAGCAAAGAGGGTTTCTTTTCTTTTTTTTTTCTTTTTCTTTTTTTTTTTTTTTTTTCCTCGTTTGGCGGGTACTTGCTTTTTTTTTTCAGCACTGTACATTCCTAAGGCAGAAGTGGTGGCCATTTTATTGTGGAAGCACTTAATATGCGACCGCCGTTACCTCTTATGAGGGGACAGACAATTTACATCCATGCCTTCTCCAGGATTTGAACTAGGGCCCTTCGCCAATGCAGTCGGCTCCTCGAACCACTATACCCTCTGGGCGGCTAAATAGCCTTACGCCACTACAAGTTCCCGAAAGTGGTGGCTATTTCATTCAATTTTTTGAAAAGAGGGATCTTCGTTAGATGATTTGGGTGCTAAGAGCTTTGTCAAGTTGGAGGGAAAGAAAAACATTTTTAATATAACTATTTTTCACAAGAAACCGTATTATTCAAGCAGTCGTTCTGTTTTGTCTCTGCACTCGTGCTGCTGGATAACACAAACAAAAGAAATGTTTCAAACTGAAGCTTGATAATTAAAAAATTCAGCTTCGGGCTTGGCATTAATTATACCAAAACACTATGCAATGAATGCTGAGGGTGAAAAAGCCTATTTCTTAACTGAAAATGCAATCTGCGCTATTATGCCATATCTTAATGCAAAACAGAGTAAATAAAATGAAATAAGCTAACAGTTTATTGTGCGAGACAGTGAAAAAAATCAATGATAGTAATAATAATAATATTAATGCTTTAAATTCTTTTGTAAGGATAAGGTTAAAGTTAATTAATTTACAAGGATTAATGAAAATTTAATTCACGAGGTGAGGATTTTATGGGAAATTTTAATAAATCAAAAATGATTAGAAATGCAAAATTTATTTTCTGAAAAGGATTAATATTTGTGCAAAATTTTAAAAGTATGTTTGTAAGCATTTTAAGTTTTACTAACATTTATTTTATTTTTAAAACTTTGCTATCCTCTCTTATTTTCCCTTTTCGGCCAGAATAAGCTCTAGTAGAATAATTTATGCTAATAAGGTTGCAAACAGTATAGGTATTTAGGAAGTGGCTTTTAGCCAAGAAAAGAGAAAACCTTCTTGCTGTCCTGCCATCACGCGTGTGCTTTTCAGTCATTTGATGTCTGCCTTTAAGGCCATAATTTAGTATTCTAAGACGTATTGTAGTATTTTCATTTCGTTCACTACATACGTAGTTTCAAAAGGCCAATTTTCGTGTTAATAGTCTCTGTAAAGCATTTACGTGCAGCTCTTATAATAATCTTATATATCTTTATCTTAATTAGTTAGCCCACCAGCGCCCGAGCGGTAAAGTCGCTGAACACTGGTAGTTCGGTCCGAGGTTCGAATTCCGCGAACGGGCTGGCTGCATGGGCGTTTTCGTGGTTTTCCCCATGTGTAACATGTATACGAGCCAGTTTCCCTTAGAAAGTCCTCCACAAAGGCATCCCTCCCCTTAAGCAGATAGCCCTTGAGGCTTTGCCAAAATTACACACACACTCTTAATTAGTTATAGTTGGTTTATTTCTTATTTTCTACGTTTTAGACCAAAAGTGCTGGTCTCTGTATCCTAAAGTGCGGGAGCGGCTGTACGCTGTGAGAAATAAAGGGTAAAGTTAACCCTTCTTATTTGTGTTGCATCGTCTACGCACACACGAGCATAGTTTGAGTAAGCTCCCTGTTCCTACTCAAGACTCCGGAGTCCGCCGATAACATCGCGGCAAAAATTTCGCGAACGAAAACGACGCGGAGAAAACAACGCAAGGCGAAAACGTCGTGGTACAAAACATCGTCGTCGAAAATAAAGCGGTTCAAACACTTCGCAGTTTAAAAACATCGTCGTCAAAATATCGTGGTAAAAAATAAAGTATCTACAAATCATTCGCATGACGATAACATCGCAGAAATGCTTTTATCAGGTTTTAATAATTGTAAATGGATATTCCCATAATGATTTGTGAGCGCAAGATGTAAAGAAGGATAATTTTTACTTTCATATTTTTTTATTGACTAATAAATTTTTGCTGAAAAAGTAAGAAGGAAACTTAAGCATAGAAAATTAAATGCAACTTATAGATTATACTTTTCATGAAAAATTACCAGTAAAAACTTTATAAAAAATGATTTATTAATGGCCTTTGTTAGTTAACTATGTCGGTTTAAAATTCTATTAAGTGCTATAAGTTGCATTAATTTTCTATGCTTAAGTTTCCTTCTTATTTTCTCAAATTTATTAGTTAATAAAAAATATGAATGTAAAAATTATCCTTCTTTCCATCTTTCGCTCACAAATCATTACGGGAATATCCATTTACAGTTATTAAAGGCCTGAAAAAAGCATGTCTGCGATGTTATCGTCATGCGAATGATGTGCAGATACTTTATTTTTTACTACGATATTTTCGACGACGATGTTTTTAAACTGCGAAGTTTTTGAACCGCTTTATTTTCGACGACGATGTTTTGTACCACGATGTTTAGAACTGCGATGTTTTCTCTTTGCGATGTTTTTTCCCACGATGTTTTCTCTTTGCGATGTTTTTTCCCACGATGTTTTGTAGCACGACGTTTTCGCCTTGCGTTGTTTTCCTCCGCGATGTTTTCGGCTGTAACCAGGACTCCAGTTTCCCAAGGCAATTAGAAGGAATAGCAGTTCTGACATGTTAAACACTGCGGGATAAAGAGATTTAGATATTTCTTAAGCTAACAGACAGGTCGACAGAAACTCTTAGAGAACTTGAAAGCAAGTTATATTGGTGAAAAAGAAAAATAACCGGAAATAAAAAATTCTGTAGAACCCGAGCAACATTATTGGTGAAAATATTTTTTGCTTTTTGAATTGGACCTATGCTACCGTCTCCTAAAACACACTGAATTTACGCAGGTCAAAAACTGAAGTTAAGCTGCTTTTTAAGCACCATGAAGTGCAATATTCTTACATGCTGCATATCTATTGTTTTTCCAAAGATTTTCCTTAGTTCAGTTGTGCGGCGAATGTTGGAAGCAAAATTCAAGATTAACTGGTAGTCTTTTCTGAGAATGAATTGTTTCTTTGATAAAAGAATTTTGAAATCACGAAAGATTTCATACGCAATAAATTAAAAAATTCATTAAGAATTTCTTAAATTTTTTCTTAAAAATCTTAAGTGCCGCCCAACCGAGATAGTGGTTAGTGACTCTGATTGCCATATTGAAGGATCGGGGTGCTAATTCCGCAGATGGCATGGATGTTTGTAAATGTATAGTGTCTGTGCGGCAAGAGGGCCGTCTAAATATGCGGCTAGCCGAAAGTCCTGTCGAGAGTTGGGGGTCGTACTGTCACCTGTAAGGTGCCCAAGGCTCTTATCAGTCTTGGATCCTTGCTACGGTTAATCGCGTGGGCTTGATCTGATATCAGACAAGCGAGATTAGTCACATCAATGCAAATCTTTAATAAATTTAAATTCCTTTCACAATCTATTGCTCAGGCCATTCACAATACAATTAACTGAACACCCACCGTCTTGTAGCACAAGGATTTAGATTCTGAATTATTATTATTAACATGATTTGCGAAACGTTGTCTTGAGATGATTTTTAACAGTCAATAATTTAATTTTAAAATTCTCTTATTTGCGTTATAATTTTCACATCTGGAGCAGAAATTTCTTCATAGCATGCCCTTCCTGTATAGCACTTACTTTAGTTTTTCCACACAGATGAATGTAGATTTTTAAAAAAAACTAGTTCTGTTTCGTGCTATTATTCTTCATTCTAAAGATAAATTTATTGTATTCTTGGGAAGCTCACTAAGGTTTCTTCCATTTTTATTTCCTTCTGTGAAGATCAGTTGGTAATTATTAAGTTTTACTACAATTAGATTTGAGTTAATCCCTCGGCCCCTGTCACAACATTCCTTTAGCCCAAGAAGTTATGCAAACTTAATAGTTTGCCGCATAGACTTTAATCTTAACCGTATGATTATTGGAACGATTAAAATTGTCACTGTATCTTACTGAGAATCAGTTAGTCCCTAGTTCTTACGGTATTCGCGAATGGCTAAAGCTTAATCAAACATTATGCTTTAGGTAAGTACTTTGCGAATTAGATATAGTGTAACAAACCAAATGTTATAACTTTGCATTTTAAATAACTGAAACTTAGTGACCAGACTAAGGATCTTCATTTTGTAATATTATTTGTATAATAAGTTTGTAAGGATTTTAAGTTTTACTAACGTTTATATTAATTTAAAACTTCGTTATCTCTCTTATTTTCCATTTCCGGCCAGAATAAGTGCGATTAGATTTGAGTTTAACTATTAATTGCTTAATGCTTTTTAATTTGCTTCAGATCTTTATTTCTATTCAGAAACAGTTTTATTACTTTTAAAACGATACACATTTAGAAAAATAAAGAAAGTCGCTCGCAGTTCTTAGGAAATCTAGCTGTTATTCTTGAATTTTCTTAAATTCTCACATATGATTCTCATGTTTGCTTTTCTTGTGTATAGATTATAAATAGATAAATACGCAAGTCATTTTCAAGATCCACCTTCAAGATAGAAGGCGGATTTGTTTAGAATCTCTATTTAGAATTCTAAATCTTTCTATTTAGAATGAGATACATTCTGCAAGAGAAGAAGAGAGAAAATTTGGTCACGTGGGCTATGAACAACAATCTCTACATGTGGTGTATGTGTCATTAAAATTAATTGATTTCTCTAATTTAGAAATTTACAGCTATTGCGAAAACTTAAAAAGTGCCCTTGGAAGTGATTTCTCATTCTTTATGGTAATAAAAAGAGTCTTCCTTTGTTCAAGAAAAAGAGTGTGAACAATATTTCTTTTGAAGCAATGCCGGATAGCAAGGTACTTATAACATCTGTGTTATGCCACAGATAAAGATAACAATTCATCATAAAACATCTGTTCAAATTTCTGCAGGAATGACGTAAGGTTTATAAATTTTTCTTATGTACGATGCTTATCAATATTCATGTTTTACTTTATAAGGAATATAAAGTGTACATCAGTTAGTTGAAAAAATATTCTCAAAACCTTGAGTAACGTTTTCTAAACTTTAAAATGTAACCTGAATAATATAATCGTTCATAGTTCCTGAATAATTGTTCTAAGTTATTGAAATAGCTAAATTCATGAAAGATCTGCTTATATGCAAAAGCATAAATACCAAGTTAGTTTTCTCTTATGAACATTAATTATAGTGCCACTAAACATGCTATGCCACTAAATTTTTATTAATTTCATCACAGTGTGTTTTAATAATTTAGCCTGTTATAATCAAGTTTTTAATCAATATTATAAACAAAGGAAAAGTAATTTTTTAATTCCCTCCGTTGGTGATATTAGAGTCGAGTCAGATGAATATAAGGAAGACATGGATGTTCTCAAGTTCTTTGTCAAATGTAGTGAATTTTCATGAACTTATCTCATATGCATACTAACAGCTGTAATATCACAAGCATCAGTAATACTGAAATAATATTTTAATATAAAAGGATGCTTTTGTGAGAATTTATATTGGGTCATATAAAAAGTCTCCGCGCTTTTTTGGTACATTTTTATAATGGACCCTTCCAAATTCTACATCGAAATTTCAGGAATGGAATCAAGGAAACCACTGCTGGGTCTTTCGTTCACTCAGAACATTCTCACCGTATACTTCACAAAGTTTTCGGGTTTCGAAGCATTTTTACCTTTTTTATAGTAAAAAAAAAAAAAAAAAAAAAAAAAAAAAGTATTTTCTTAGACATTTCACTCATTTTCAAATCAACATAACTTTTGACACAAGCAACAAATTAGAAAACTATCTTCATAAACAATGGAAGCTGAATGTAACCTTTTAAGCACATGTTTGTTTGAGACAGCCGGATATATAGGCATCAATACCATCTAGTGGCAAAAAAGAGCGGAGACTTTATATATGAACCAATATTTAATTCCACAATTTTTATGGGAGATTGCTGAGTTTTTTAGTCTAAATATTAAATTATAATGTATATTTAATTCTTGAAAATAAATGGTTGTGTTAGTCCCTAGTTTAGTATGCGCATTAGGTAAATGCACTAGAATTACATTGGTCTATTTCATATGATAGATCTTTTTAATGACTTGAAAATAAATCTTTTTGAGTTATTTAAAAAGTAAAAAAAAAAAAAAAAACTGTACAATCAAATTATGTAATTTTCAAATAATTTAAAATGTATCTTTTGAATATATAAGGTGTATGTAGATAATATTTTTAACCACTTCCATAAAATAAAGAAAAATCTGTTACAAAAATTATTAATTTCACTGCTAGAAATCAAATAAAGGAAAAAGCTTCATATATAAATATTAACAATAAAAACATGGTAAAGCAGTGAACAAAGATTATTATGAAAATAACAATAAAATATAATAATTACAAAAATTAGACTAACCAAATGAACAATTAATTAATGAACGAAATAATTATTAAAGATGAAATGAAAAATTTCATAAATAATTCAAATTAAACTAGATTTTCGAATTTTCAACAAATCTAATGCAGCAGGGCAACCTTGTTTACATTACTGGACATACGTCACGTGACCTATGAGATCACCTGAATGTTTCTCATTGACTATTTTCGTTGCAGAAAATTGTAATTACAATGTCTTGAGAATTCTAGAAATATATATTTTTTTCATCAGAAACTATGTGAGCTGCATTTCTTACGTTATTTTACTATTTTACGAAATTATCCGTTCTGTCTTTAAAAACGAAAATGGAAGTACTACATTTTACCACCGGAATTTGTAGAACTTTTACATTTTGTCTTACTTAATTGCTCAGACGTTGTTTTTTTTTATTCTTATTAGGCTAATTTTTAATTAAATAATATTTATTGTGAAGCGTAAAAATATCTAATCAGTATACGAGTACATTGATGTTGGTTATTGATTACCTGGAATTAACTCCATTTATCGTCAAGAAGAAAAGCAAACTAAGCATTTTGCAGACGTTAAAAATTCGAAAGAACCTCGTCTCAAAACAATTAAATTAATGAAATTTAAAAAATTAATGAAATTTAAAAAATTCATCAATGGTTCAATGGCCTAATTTGAACTGAGATTTTTGCATTGAAATTTCTATCATTCTGAATGATTTAAAATGTATTAAATTAAATCGCCCTCAAGTGAAATTTTCGATGCATGGTAAAATTTCGTATTGAATTTTGAAATTAAACGTATTTAAAAACATTGTTTTGATCCATAGCTATATTTCATTATGACAGCTAATATAAAATTACGAGAAAAACAAAATAAAATCCTAACTTGATCGAAACCTTTACTACAAGTAAATAAACCGTTAAGGGCGCATTCGATGGAAAAGAGTCACTGAAATACCAACTCACTATCACCGTCCTCCACGTGCGCGGCGCTCCACTTCAGATCCCCGCAAGCAGTTTCTCGCCCCTCCTGCATGTCGTTTTCCGGAAACACAGATTCCCGGACTCACGGCAGGCACGGATTCCGGACCAAATGCCGGAGCTGGGCGGGGCATTCCTCCTCGAATACCTTCACCAATAGGAACGGTAATAAGACCTTTTGCAACCAATGATGATGATGGTGGGAGGGATTAAAGATGCGGAGAGCATTGTGCATCAGATATGTCCTACGCTTTCCATTACAAGATTTTGCCAAATACTTGAGGATTTGAATTGGAATTCTAATTGAGGTCTTTTTCTTTTAAGAGGAGGATGGTAGAACTATCCAAATAAGTCTTTTCTATTTAAGGCTGTTTTCGAGATTTTAAAAAAATCGAATACTTTGGTGGATTTTCGCTTTTTTCTAATGAAAAAAGAACCCACTTTATTTTAATTACTATGAAATATTAGGCTTTTCTAAAAGCCATGGGATTAAATTTCACGACATAAATTGTGAAATAAGTTTAAAAATATTAATCCGTGATCTTAGTTTTAGTTCTGAAGATCTAAGTTTGACACTTGCTTCTGTCATAAAATTTGTCAAAATAGACTTTTTTATAAATATCTCTTTTATCTGTCCTCTATTTTGCAGCGATATTTGTGTTATACATTGCCTAATTGCACATGTATCTAAAATTAGATTTTTCAAATTTCGTTCGAAATAATGGAATTTAATCTTAGGAAAATAATTACATGAATATTGTACTGTAATATGAAAAAAAAGTTACTTAATATATGCAAATACTACACTAGGAATACTGATTTGCAGTCGTGTAAAAAATATAAATATATGTAAGTAATATTTTGCATCAAGGAAAGAGCGACGCAAAACATACAAAACTTAATTGTATTGAAACCACCGTATATAACAACTAGAAGGTTTCGATTCTACACACTTTTAGTATAGGTATTTGAAAGCAAATAAATTTAAATCGAGGGTTCTCAAACATTTAAAATTTTATATCGCATAATACACATATGTTCAATCAAGTATAAATATATGTGTCAAAAAATGAGTTATTTTACATTCATTCTTTGGTGCAAAAATTATACCACCAGCAATAATACAATAAATTTCAGAGAGCCTTTGCCATTTTTATTGATTTGTAGACTATCTTTTTCCACCCAGTGGAGAGTGATGTCCACAAGTTGCATGAGCTGAAAAAAATATTCAACTCGTGGCTAATCGAAAACTAACTTCAAATATTTGAATCCCATATTAAAATGACATTTGTGGGGAGCAAGCAGGATTTGAGCTCCCAACTTCTCTGCAATACAATAGCAGAATCCTCCTAAAGAAAAAGGGAACAAAATCATTTTGATATTAATTACATACGACGTTAAATAAGTATGAAATTTTTATAGTGAAAGCTTCCTAAGTGTCTTCTCCTTGTTTTGGCATTTAGTTCAAAAATTCTGGATTCGTGAAAGAAGATTTTGAGAAATCGGGATTTAGGACGAGAGACGAGAAAACACTGTGCGTAGAATAAAATGAGTAATAGATGTAGTATATTATCCTTAAAGTATTACTTTTAGATATTTTTATAATAAAATCAACATATTTTCAGGAATTATTCATGATAAAAATCACAATGCGATCAAAAGATAATACGTAAAGCCTGGATATTACTTTCCTAATATCTGTGCTTCATAGGTTGCCTTTAGATTGCATTTTAATAATTTTCTCATCAAATAAGTTATAATTAACGCAAAGAAATATTTATTAGTTTAAAGCTATTCGAAAGCATTTCCAAAGAAATACAGGAGAAAGGAAACTCAGATTCCGTTCTTTAGAATTTACTGATGGAAGAAATCCTTCCAGAAGTGAAATAGCAGTGAGGTAATTGTAGAAAATATATCTCATTTCTGAAGAGGTGAAAAATAAACTTTGGATCTGAATACAATTTTGGAATTCTGAAATATTTAAGTTGAACCCTCGAATGACAAAGCACTGAGCTTCTGTATGGGAAAAGGATGTTCAGAGTGCTTTAGTTAACTGTTTGTGCCCTTCCCCTCTTAAAAAAGTGTAGACTAAAATTTGCTTTACTATTATGTGCTTTATTTCATTTTTGTGTAATTAACAAAAGTATTCTGCCCTTAGTAGATTAGTAGATGGCGCTATCATTGCGCTGCAAGAATCAGTTAATTCTAGTAACTGAGTGTGTTAAGACGTGTATCTTGAAGCGTCGAAAGGGCTAAATTCCTGTAGCTCCACGCTTGAATATGCACCGATATAGTGCTGTGTATTGTGTTTAATGATCGTAATAAATTTTGTGTGTGAACTTGGCTTAATCCTTGAAATAAAGTACCGACCACATATAGTGAGCACCCTGTAACTACACCTCTGATGGATACTTGGAAGATCATAATCGCCCAAAAAGAAAAATCAAGAGATCTGACAAATAGTTTGATGAATTTATAAATATTTGTGTAATGGGGCTTATACACATTTGTGTATTCAATATACACGATTTAATTTAACGCGGCATTCCACAAGGGTAAACTAATCGTGTTAAACAAGGGATTCTTATAATTTGGTCATCCATTTCTAACACCAAACATCATTTTTTATTGTTTTAATATCTCAAATTTAGTTATTATTTTCAGTACGAGAAGAAAATCATGTCCTGCCAAAATAGAAAATGTTTCCAATTTATGGGCAGTATATTACAAGAGTTTTCTAAGCTGTTAACAAGAGCTAGTCTCTTTTAACTGATAACAGAACAGCTGCCGATTCGTGTGCCATCATACTTATAAAGAGGAAGGATCCCTATGGCATAATTTTCATTTTTTCTAATTTCCTTTTAGTTCATATATCATTTATGTATATATATAGTTAAATGTTTCTTGTTAATAAATAATGGTAATTTAAAATATTTTATCACCCTTTTCAGAGTATAGAGATAGAAGTTTATGCCAGATCTCAGGCGTTAAACTGGAATTTGAAATGTTAGATTCTGTATTCTTTTAGATATTTGCGTAGTTTTTATAATATCTAAGCTTAACACTGAAAGAATAATTTTAAAATAAAAAATGATTAAATCTCTTTTTAAAACACTTCGAAGGAAATCTCTTAGCTGTATTTATCGTTTTCATTTTGCTGATTTTATATCCCGCTCTTTAGAATTTACTTATGAAAGAAATCATTCTAGAAGTGATATAGACGTGGGGCAATAGACGTATCCTGATAAAATAAAATAAAAATATTACTTTTTAGGGAAATATTTATTGTGAGAAACCTTTTTCGAAAGCGAGTTAGAGAAATAGTAAATGCGCAGCTACATTTTTATTTGTGTCTTTTCTTTATTAAATAAATATCTTCCATAAGTCTCCCCGTAGCGTTAACTTAGAATAAAATAACAACAAAAATTCCTTCTTTCCCCCAGCGCCTGGCTTTGCCATTTTAAACAGCTCGTTTTAAATGTAACTTATGATCTGTATCTTTAAGCTCTTAGGACTGGTTTTCATACTAGGAGACCTAGAGTAATTGCTTACCTTTAAAATATTTCAAGTGTTAAAGAGAAGCTGCATAGTAATATCAAATTGCAGTTCCTTTTAATCTTAAAATTTTTACATTTTTAATTTTTTTTAATATTTTTGAAATTTATTAATAAACATTTCCAGTTGTTAGACTATAATCTGAAATCTTCAGATGAATGATTTTTTGGGTCAAAATCTGCGCTTAAAACCCGGATTCAAAGCTATACCCAGGAAATACCAGTTTGAACCTTGGAAATAAGAAAAAGTAACGCGATGCCATATCAGGAGTAGCATGGAACCCCATTTGTCGACTTTTGGGTTGAAAATTTACAAAGTACTAGAACGCTGCGTGCAAATGCATTATCGTGAAACAAAATCTGTAGGTAAACTTGCCACAATTCATCTACGAATTGCTTCCCACAAACACTGAAAAACTCCCAAATAATAATCTTTGTTAACAATTTGTTTAAGTGAAAAACTTTTATGACGCTACAATGAGCGTATCATTACAATCGAGAAAAAAATCTACACCATCTCGATTTTTGATCGAATTTTTTATGGTCTTTTCAATTTTGTTTGCTCTTTGGAGTGCCATTCATTTAATGGTTGAACAGATTTTCTATCAAAAGCACAGATTGTTATTTCAGTATCGGTAATAATGCGACAAACACTTGTTGATAAAGCACCTCCTAGGCTATTTGATACATTATTGGTTCTGGAAAAAAATTAATTACTTTTAGTACAGCTCGAAAGCGGAGAACCGCAAGCCAAAAAGATCATTCAAAATCACATGACATGATAACAATAATATAGAACTTGTATAGCTTGTTTCTCAATATGTGGTCCATGGACTACAAGTCGTTTTCGAAACCAGCCTGGAGGTCCTCCTAAATTTCTAAAAAAAGGCAAAATGTCAAATTAACTACATATACCACAGCACAACTGGAAACTTGAGTTTGGAAATTACACAGGGCAATGGTCCATCAAGTTTTTCTCCTAAGCCTTAAATTTTATGAAATTCATTACCGGTTACCTCACCTGCGAATTTACCACTCTAGTCTTAATAACAGAAGAATTTAAAGCACTATGACTTTATTGCTTCTTATCAGTATACATTCAAGAACAGAAAAGTTATACAAAATTCTGCAGGCTCATCCATCTCATTAATGCGAGAACCAACACTTATTTAATTATTGGTAAAGAAGATAAAGATTACCAACCTCTAATGACCTTGAATTATTAAAAACATATATAAATTTTCTTTTAAATTTAATATCGTTATAAAATTAAATTGTATTTTTTAAATATTAGTAGTGAATTGGTAATTACACATGGTAAAATTTTTTCGTAAAGGATAAGAATAAGTTGGACCGCAGAACATTTTAATTTACAGAAGTGGTTCCCATTTGAAAAGAGTATGAAAAATGCTGGCTTATATTTCCTTGTTCTAAAGCGTTACCCTCAAAGGGTTTCTGAATTATTTTAGAATAATTCGTTGCTGGAATTCCAATGCGAAATCAGAA